TATCACCCTCCAAGTTGCCACAGGGGAATTGACCAAGCTTTATGAACTTCCATTCAAGGAAGACAATCTCATCCCTTCCGTGGAGTCCAAAACTGTCTTGCATGTCCTCATAAGGCTTGTACACACTGGTTTCAAGCAAGCTTGCAAACTTTTAGTCCCCAAACTCATGAAAATATGCCTTGGTCCTCTTGGTTCCAAGTGTTGGGTCAACAGCTTCCTTTTTGTTGAAATCAAGCTTTACAGCACTAAGGAATGATCCCTTGCCTTTGAAGTCCGCTTCATTAAACTGGATCCCCTTCTCATGGAATGCAGAGAATAGCACCCTAACATACACAGAATGGGTGTTGGTATCAAGGGGCTCTCCGGTTTTTGTGTTCTTGATATTAAGAGTCCAAATCATGAGAGCTTGATTCATTAGTGTCTTCTTGAGGGCATCCAGCTTACCACCCACACTCTGGCAGAATAAATAATCTTCAGTTAATCCATCATTCATAGGAACTTTCTTGGTGAACATCTCAGACATGACTTTGTCTACAGGTTTGTTTGTGGCTGGATTGGTAGCATTGAGTATTGTCTTTGCAAATCTTGTGAGGCGGCTCTTCTTCTTTGCTGCATACTGCCTCTTGCTGTTTGATTCAGCAGTGGCATACTCATCACTCCCCAATGTGATGAAGGCATTTGGGTTGTTGATTAGCTTCTTTGCATATTCAAACTTTGCTTGTTTAGAGTTGGCACTTTCTTTTGGTGTCAGTGCTGATGTTGGTGCTGATGTCAGTGCTGTTGTTGGTGCTGTTGTCGGTGCTGTTGTCAGTGCTGATGTTGGTGCTGATGTCGGTGCTGATGTCGGTGCTAATGCCAGTGCTGGTGCCAGTCGAATTGTCTTCTTCTTTGTTGCTGCTTTCTTTTTTGCTGGCGCCTTCTTCTTGTTGTTAGTCTTTGATACAGTCCATTTCTTCTTGTTCTTGTTTGCTCTGCTGTACAGATTTTGGATTGGTGGTCTTCAATTTACAGCAGCTGGTGTTGCTGTTGTCTTGTCTGCTTGATCAAGAGATACTCTTCATGATTTTGTTTTTGTTGCAGCTTCTTCATCTGGTACTAACCGGATTTCTCCTCCCCCTCCTCCTGCTTGTTGACCTGATGGCGTCAGTGCTGCTGCCGCTGGTGTGTTCATTGTTGTTGGTTGCTGCTGTGGAGCGTTTTCTTCTGTCCAACTTACCTCAGCACCAATACCCTTCCAGGTTGGTTCTCTTGCTTACTGAGAGGAGAGCAGCTTGTTCCTTTTTTGCTGGCTGTACTGAGACATTTCTCTCAAGCTCTCCCTAGATTCTAGCCATGCTCCACAGTCAAGGCTGTCATTGTTATTATTCTTCTTAGCTGGAGGAGGTTTCTTAGCCAGAGGGCTGATTGATTTGTTGTTTCTGGGCCTCATGGTCAACTACTGCTGGTGTTGCTTTTTTTGTGTTTTGCTTGTTCCCCACTGCAAATAGTGCGTTTTCGATATTTCTAGAGTATTTTCTACATGAATTTGTACTAGAATAGCAAAAGAGATCAGTTTTCAATGAAAACTGGTCACGATTTTTAGTGAGTAATTGTACTTYGTACTACAAATAGTACTATTCAGTACTCAAAATAGTGAGCAACCAAGACAGTTTTTAGTACCTGTTGAGGTTGTGCACGTGTTACCATGTGGTTACAAGCGCACCGGTGCGCTTTTTGTAACCAGGCTGAAAAAAAGATGTAACCAGGCTACTAGTAGTATCGTGGAGAAAAGAAGGGCCTCTCTGTGGGGAAGAATTTGGTTACAATTTTTGGTTACAAAATTCAGTTTGTGCATTTTAATAACTTATTGAGGTGCATGCACTTGAGCAAAAAATAACTAGTGTTTGTTAGTGTTTGTTTTTTGTAACTGCGCAGCACGCATGAGTACATGGAAATGTTGAGCTGCTGAAYGGTTACTAAAACGAGGTGATCTCTGCAAAAATCAGCTATTGAAATTGATGTCCGCTGGCACGAAGTATTTACTACTAGTGCTTCTATCTACTAGCATTCACAGTTGCTGGTACAACTATGATGCATTAGCGTTACTATCCAATTCTTCTGAGATTCCGACCATGTTTCATACCCCCATGAGAAGTCACATTTTTTCAAAAACAAGAACCACGCAACCACTCTGCTACTTCATACAAGCCCTTAGAGCATCCAATTTAGAAAGTTTAGCTTCCGATGTTTTGATTCTAGCTGACAGAGTATTTGTTTGATCAGTATTCAAGCCAACTTTGAGAAAAGAAGTTGGTTGCTCAATTCTGATTTTGAACACGATTCCTGTGTATCGAATTAGCATCATACTTCTATTTCACCATTCGCTTCGATTGTTATGGGCTGCTAGAGTTGGTTCGTTTCATCCGTATCTTCCGCGTGTGCTCTAGCCACAATTCATTTAGCTCCTCTGTTTCATTTAAATCCATTAACGTCGGCATTTCACAATTGGGTATATTCCCTCCTGCAATCCTTATCATACAAGCGTTCACCACTTCGGGGTTTTGCAATATCAGCAGATGTCCTGCATTAGGAACCAAATAAACCTTGACGTCTGGAGTTGTAAACACAGCAGATGACATCGGTGACTTGTGTTGAATTTTCGATAGTCTGTGAGACAAGGCTTGCGTGTACATTCCTCCAGAGATATCCATCCAATCCGTAGTCCCGTACAAAAAGTTTACTGATTTCACCTTWAGGTTGGGAACTCGAAATAAGAGAGGTTCCTTCGCTAAAAAAGAAGAATTTAAAATGCTCCGCAAGAAATACTCGCCGGACGGTGGYAGAACAGCACTGAGATAAAATAAATCTGATAGTGCTTCAGATTCGTCGTCATCGAAAATTTCTGGCAACCTTTTTTCAACATAACTCCTGGCCATCATTGTACCACGATGTTCTGTAAAGGTTCGTATAACCGCGCCTGGAGTGGTCCACTCGAACATTGTCTGAAATACTCCCACAAAGAATTTGCCGCGTAGTGATGATTGCATCCAATCCATCTTTCTCTGTATGTTGGGATCCTTTYCATCTGGRACTCCGAGAGGAGATAAGAGAATTATTCGATCTACACGCTCTGGATAGCGTTCAGCGTAGGCAACCGCRACGTATCCACCAAAGCTGTGGCCCGATAAGATCATTTGATCGATTTCGTTCTTTCGATTTTCATGTCATTTGGAAAGTTCATCGTTAGCAGTTGCTTCAAAAATGGATTCACTGCGAACAATATTACTSTACGTACCATAGACCTCCAGGCTTCAAGACTTTCTACAAAAAAGTCTTCCGCGCTTTGAACAGTTTCGTTCGCTTTCACCTCGTCAAACGAGGGCCTCGACGAAAGTCCCCAACCCAACATATCAACGGCATAAATGTTCTGAAAGTAGCTGCTGAGTCCACTCAAATTCCGATAGAAATAAGCTCCGGCGTTCATGTAACCGTGGAGATTGACAAGGGGTAGCGCTGTACTTTCGTTTCCYGATTCCTTGGAAGTGGCACGGACGCAATGAATTTTTAATTTTTCATCTTCGCTTGTTTCTGCCGGTTTCAGGCAAGGAACAGCGGATCGTGGAATGTAAGTATCGAAGGTCGTCAATTCCAACGAATCGGCCGATAGTGTCGTATATCGCTTCGAGATTTCTAATAATTTTCTCTCTGAAGCCTCAAGCTTGGCTTCGAATTGAGCTGTAGATGTCCAAAGGTTGAACATTTGCATGTAGTAAATTGACGACTATGTTTTGTGAAGACTCAAACAACAATGCTTTTTAACACTGGTTGATTCCCGGATGTAATACCAGGTATTGTACGTACTCGTACTTTAAGGCAGTAAGATAAGAGGGAGGGAGTCTAAAGTTTGTACGGTACCGTACGGTACCGTCCGTACTACGCGAGTGAGAAAATCGAAATGGAGAGAAATTCGATTTTTTTCTGGAGCTTCTCTAACACAGATCCGGCGGAAACGGTAATGGTACGTACCTTACGTACGAGTACCACGAAACGATACGACAAGGAGGAAATGTGTGGGAAAATTCTTCGAAGTACATATTGTTTATTGTACAAGATGTACAGATACATAGTACGTACAAGACGTATGTATCAATGAATATTAATTTCAGTCGAAAGGGTCGAGAAAATCATCGAAGACTATGTTAGTGTTTTAGCGATCTTCAGAGTCACCATAAGTTTCGGTTATTTTGTGTGTTCGCMACGATGCCCAATAAATAATGATMAACTCGCGCAGCCTAAACAACAGCGCATGCATCCTCCTCATCGCACGTTGAACCCCGTTTGCGGTCCAATGCAAATACACTGCATGTTTTCAGGTTGGTGACCCCCTGCGTTTACCTAATCTCTGAGGCTGTTGAAGCATCRATACGAAATAAAGAATCAATCATGTCTGCGGCTGTGGCAAAGYTGATGAACCCTGCTTTTTACAAGCAACAGTGGGCGAGTACTTGCTCGCGGGCATACGCCAAGTACCATCCCACTATCCGTGAAAACAAGTAAGTGGTGCCAACTTGAAAGCCTTTTCGGGCCTTGTTTTATCGGCATAGCTAATCTAACCAMTGCGCTGATTTTTTTMTRCTGTACCTCTTCKTCAATTAAGGGCGACTGTCTTGTTCCACTCTATGCTTGCGATCTCTTTCACTATGTACACTGGTACCTACATCGCGCGAGTTCGTAAGTGCGAAGCATCAATCCGGAGTTGACGGGCCTCTGCGTTTACATTTTAGGTGACTAACTTTCTAMTTGACTTCTTTTTTCGATTGTCGCGATTATAGACCCTGARAAGCAAGAAGAGCGYGCCATCAAGAGACAAGCGTTGCACGAGTACTACGAAAAGCATGGTGGAGCTCCTCATCATTAGAGCACCAAAGTAGATTCATCTTTCTATTCGTATCACTGATGACTAATGGTCATCGGCGACTTCGGGGGAGCTCTCATACTTTCAAATGGCAAAACTTAAATTAAAACAAAATSATTTTTGTCATTATTTTATCTGATTCTACAAGGAATGGTCGTGATTGCAAGTAGCAATCATACAATTCTTAAAATCTGAGTACTTCAGTTGTTGCGCAAAACGAAAGCAATTGTTTGATACGTGAAAAACATTTCCACGATTTTATTTTCGACATAWTTGAACAGCATTATCGACGTCGACGTCAGATCAGTTCGAAAAAACTAGATGAAATTAATTTCGTCGGCTCAATTCAACATCGTGAAAAATGCATTCAGAATTCCATTCTCGGACCTGGTAAATCTTCTGGCCTGCAGGCAGTCACACGAATTCGTTTCTTTTCCATATCTAGATCGGCGACCCACACGCGTACGCGTTGTCCCCGTTCCATGAATTCAGAAGGCGTCTTTCCATCTTCCCACAATGGGTGATCCATGAAATGTAAAAATGCATCCACCTCAGCCCCAACTTCTACGTAGGCTCCGAAACTTGTGACTCTTCTTAATTCACCCCACAATTCATCATCCAACTCAAACTCCGACAACGACGTTCGTTCTTCGTCATCTTCGATAGCGTTGTTACCCCAAGAGTTAGACTCGGACTGTTCCGCCGCATCCAACATAGTCAGCTGCATCTTTTTCAATTCTGGACTCGTGGAACGAATCTTAACTGTAACTTCGTCACCCGGAGTAACGACTTGCCGAGGGTGTTCAACAAAGAAATCRCGAGTCATTTGTGATATGTGCAATAATCCGTCGCACTCAGTCCCAACATCGACATAGGCTCCATAGTTCGTCAATGAAATTACTGTTCCAGTCACTTCCATACCTGGGAAAAATGCTGTCAGCGGTGCTCGTTCGTCGAACCCAAGTGGTCGCTTGATTCGAGAATCTTTTTTCTTTTCCCGTTGCAATTCTTTGAATTTCATCATCATTCCTGCAACGGTATTGATCAACAATAAAAAAGGTTTTTAGGCAATGGAGAAACCACAAAATGATTACTCGCAATATCGAATCCGAGRAGCACAAACTAGGAACAAGGAAAAACAACGCACATCCATCTAGAAATAGAGAAAAAAATAGCAATAGGTGAATCAACAATTAAGGCAAACTTACTTCGTTTCTTTTCCGCCGCAGGTTCACGTTTTTTTTTGTTKGCAACAGCCTTGGCCTGGCCCTTTGCGATAAGTCGCTTCTTGATCGATGGTTTCAAATTTTCCCAGCGTGAACGACCTTTACCTTTGGCAGGCGCTTCGTCTTCGTCCTCATCCATATCGTCGTCTTCGTCGATAAATAACACATTCAAGTCGTCGTCCTCGTTGTCCAAAAATGTACTCGGTCGGTCAAAATCACTTATCTGATCCTCGCTGACGCTTCGACTTGTTGTGGATGACTTCTGCAGAGTAGGCCGATTCGCGCAGAAATTCGACTGAAAAGCAGAAACCAAAGGMAAATTGACAGCAAGTATCACAAGGAGCAGCTGGGAAGGCTTCGGTATTAGAAATTCACGAGGCATGGCTGGAATCTTTATGTACGGYGGAGTGTGGAGRAGAGCCTGTCCTATTGTGGGATCACGGCCTGTTGATACTTCGATTMAAKACCTGGARTTTCTGCGTTGTCARGCAACCTTGGATCGAAAWGGTTTTCGATAGGAAGGAATTGCTGATGTGCTTTGCTGCAGYATACCTGTACGAACTGTTCAGAATTTCTGTGCCACTTTTTCCCACCGGTTGTGATTCGTGTATCGTACGGTAGTGCGAGCTCAGCTGATGGGTCAGATATCGCCGTACGCATCATTATTTTTAACGCAAATCAGTGGCTGTCAGATTTTGTATGGTGCTGTTAAAAAATTCCAAATTGTCTACGCAGTGTACTTTTTCCCACGCACCCCCAACAAGAACCGTTCGATACTGTGCGTACGATGAGGATAACGTACGATTAGTCGTAGTCGTGGGCGGACGATACCTGGTACGAGTACTTTCCCACTGTCCTTGACCAGATTGTCACACATCAACACAACGACAAAATTCTTCTTTATTTTTATCAATCTCAGATCACTCAGGAAATAGCGCCTGCGGTTCCAATATCATCGAACAACAACGCCGTTATAGTTTTCTTCCATTCATCTCGCCGTGTCCCATATTCGTGATGAAACATTGAGCTCGTGTAAATTAGTGGATCAAGAAGAATGTGGAGTACATACATCAAATACTTGGAGGCAGAGAAGGATTTTGATTTTGTCAACGKGGGCACCGAACAGCGTGGCTAACAACAGAACGAAATGGTGGAAACTCTGAAAAAAATAAAAGTGCTGACCGTAGGAGATGGAGATTTATCCCTATCGCTTGCATTGAGCAGAGCCTATGGGGAACATCACATCGATTTGACCGCGTCYGTCCTCGAATCAGATCGTGAAACCTTTTTACGTGTATTTCCCGAAGCTCCAYTAAATGAGTTGCAATATCGGCGTGTCTCGGTAATGTATGGTGTAGATGCGACGCAACTYCATCGTCGGTTCGCTCCTTTCGGAAGCGAGGGGGGTAGGAAAAGCGAGCACATGGCAAAACAAAAAGTGTCAGAAACGCCGAAGATATGGGATTTGATTTCATTTCATCATCCTCATCTCGGGATATCGAATTTGGAGGAAGAAGACGAAGCAAAACGAGCAATTCTTCACCACTSTTTGCTTTCCCATTATCTTCACTCGGCAGCAAAAGTGTCCAAGCTAGTTCATGTATGTCTCACGGGAACGCAACCGATTACATGGAAATTATTGGATGCTGCAATGCTTCAAAACTTGATCTTAGTCAAGACATTCYCAGATACGAAACCCTTTGCGAACATTTGGACGCGCCACACTCCAATRTCGGAGCAAAGTGATGTGGTTCTAGAACAWACCGATGGGAGCAGCCCTACGATGTGTAACAAAGACTTTCCAGAAGCCGGTGCAATTGAACCCCACTTTGCTGCTCCCCGTCGATATCGGAACGGAAAATTGGGCCGGCACTGGTTATCGAGATATGGATATCGACATCGTCGCACGGAAGGGGTCTTGTTCAAGGGATCTACAAAGGACGCAAACGTTTCGGAATCGATGCATTTTGTGTTTGCTACCAATCCGGGAACTTCTCGACCACAAAACAGTCTTCGCGAAAGCGATCGGTACAATGGAACGACCAATGAAAAGAACAGAGTAAAACTACATGTGTGTCCGATTTGCCTGCAATCCTTCGATTCTGAAAGTGAACTCAGAAAACATAAGTCTTCTCCAGTGCAAATCCCKAGTRACAGAAACGGGTTTTTCGTTGATGCTGTCCATAGCTCTCTACTTAAAGACGAGTCACAAGAGGAGGCGAAGCTGAAAATCAAAGTCGATGATGATTCAATCCCTTACGTGGATCCTTCAAGAGGAGCACCACAGCGGTGTTTGGGTCCGATACTTGAAAAACTTTGTGTTACCAACGCTTGTMGGGGAAAGCGATTGCGATGGTTTTTGCAGCACTCAAAGTTTGAGAACCTCAAGTTCACCAAGCGCKTTGCAGAGTTGGCAATAAAATCGGGATTAGTCTTGTTGAATGGCGAGGTCGCTCACGACTCGAGCAGGATACTCAAAGTTMAAGACACTGTGTCTATTCTAGAAAAGAAAGAAGGAACTGGTAGTTTTATAAATCAKGAYACTTTGCGTACAGGAAAGGAGGTACCGAGGGGGCCAGTTACTATTCAAAAACTATCGTCGAAAAATCCCAAAGTGGAAATCCTTGAGCGCTCGTCCAACTGGCTGGTGGCAATGAAGCCTTCGGGCATGAGAACAAAGGGAAATGCCCCTGGAACGTTAGAGTCGAGTGTTTCTGAGCAAGAGGGCATCAAGTATGCTTCCCTTTCCTCGCTAGAAACCTCGTGTTCGGGGCTGTGTGTGCTTGCAAAGACTTMGACAAGAACGCAGGTTTCAATTCGACATTTTCTCACTGTGCTTGTTCACGGTCACCTTCCCAGAGACGAATGGTTTCCCTCTTGCACAATATCCTTGCCACTAGAAGCCAAATGGAGGCAAAAGAAGAAAATCAAGAAGCGCAAACACAGCGCAGAGTCTAATTCGTCGGCACCGTTGCGGTCGCCATCACAGTCCTCCTCGTTCCTGAAACCCGACGACGACGACGAATCATCCCAGCACGAGAATCGAAAGACGGTTTCTGCAGAGGTCTACCCAAGGGAATCCACGAAACTGGCATTAGAGAAATCTCTCAAAAATCCTTTGCGACTATCTACATTGGAAGTTGTCACTCCCGAACCATCTTCGAGCAGCATCTGTCATTATTTTCGGCAAGAAGGATTCCCCGTAGTCGGAGATTCATTTTGTAAGCAAGAATATTCACGGCTAAAACGATCCATCCGAAACCGACTCAAAGACAAGTTGTGCATCGGTTGTTTYAAGGTTGAGGTCGAAGTAACAAATGGAATGGATCAGAGTAACGACAACGAGACTGCATCAAGGAAGCATGTGATTGAAATACAGTCTCCGGATAAGTTTTCGGCTACGTTTTGGGAAAAGTTTTTGGAAGAAGAAACAGCTGCTTCCGGAAATGCGATAGCAACATAACCGCATCGATTTTTCGCTACCTGTTTCTTTGTTTGAAAGTTCTCAAGTTTGGCAACAAACCAATGGAACCCGGTTTTGTTCGGCCTGGCATTTGAACTTCCTGATGAAACAGAACAAACACAACAACGAGACGTTTTTGTATAATGATGGTCCCTTCCTATTAAGTGTTAATCATACATGTTCGTGGTCGCTGTTTCATGGTCTCTGTCCTTGATTTCCCGGATCATTCTTTCACGCGGAGCACCCGGCTAGTACGCTATTGACCGATTCGATCGAATATTGTTGTCGGCTGTTGTTTGCTTTGTTTCTGTGCCCTTTTTTTCTGACAGAGCCGCGAGTTGACGCCGGAGCTCTTCGTTTTCCCGTTGCAATGCTATGACATCCACGTTTTTGGGGGCGCCCAGGTATCGCTTGATGTACTCGATCGCATTGCTGGGCCGCTCCGGTTCTTCGTACAGACCCACCAGAACTTTCGTCAGCGTATCCAAAACCCCCGATTTTTCCAAGTAGTTACGAAACTCCTCCTTTTTGGAACCGTCGGAGGACTTGTTGTTGTTGTTGTGTGACGAAGAATACGAGTTGCTTCCACCGCCGCCGTTGCTTCCGGCGTCCTTTCCCGAATTCGCTTGCTGTGTGACAACGATGATGGCGACGAGGGGGACGAACATGACATACCACACGATCGATCAAAAACCGGAAAGAACAGCGTGTGAGAACACATAATCACAGAGATGCCCGTGTGGCGACAACGAGCATCACGCCGCCTAGCGCAGCACGAGTGYGATGCGTTCGAAACGAAACGTACCTGTGCATAAGTCGCCATGGTGAACCTAATGGTTTGTTGTGTTGCCCAGAATAGCGATTTTTATCTCTAGTTGTAGTAGTAGTGATTTCAGCATTGCGAGAGCAGAGAGCCCAGGCCAGGGCACGACTACGTATGGTACGTACGGTACCAATTACCGTACGTAGTCTAAGACGCTACTAAGAATACGTAATGTTTTACCGTTCGTATGGAACGAAGTCCTGCCCTTCCTTCATTGCGTTTGTTTGCATCACGGTACCGTACGGTATGTAAAAGTTGSTGCCGTACTCGTAGTACGGTGCGTACGTACGAGTACGAGTACGAAACGTATTTATCGTACTCCGAAGGAAATTTTTTTTTTCTTCCACGGAACAGATTGTTCCCAGTTTGTTGTTGCCTTGGCTGCASCAGGATGGTATCATACTTTTCGATCTGGGTTTTCAAACTACTGTACGGTAGTTCGCAAACGCATGCAATGGTAACGGCTGGGACACCAACACCCCTATCCACCGGCAATCTGTTAATGGAGTCGTCGAGAACAACGACAACGACWACGGCATTATCGTCGTCGCCATCGGACGACGCCGAGCGGAATCGCGATCCCGTGTATTTTCCCTCGAAAAACGCAGGCGAGGTCGAAACCAATTTTCAAACGTTCACGGAAGCTTGTCTCTTTGCGGCAGAGAGCCATCGGCCCTTGCATCTGTTGMAAGATGTGGAGGATTTGCCGGAAACCATTGTGTTGAGGAAACGCCAGTATCTCACTATTCATGGARGGACGCCATCGTCTGTTCCGTCGCCGCCTTCGTCGTCGCCCCGTGGCACCCAAACTAGGATATCCGGAAAATCCCACAGCTTGTTCTTGCTCAACAACCACAGCCAGCTGAGGCTCCTCGATCTGGAATTGGTCCACGAAGAAGACGACGAGCCCGACGACTGCGATTGTCGAAAGGTGGGTGCAGCCGTCAATCTCCGGTACAAATCAAAAGTGTGGATCGAGGATTGTTCCATCCGCAGCCACGYCGGATTCTGTTGCTGGGCTGTCCAGAAGGCCAGCATCGGKCTCGAACGTTCCTACCTCGAGGCGCCCCTGCGATCGGCACTGGTGTGCTTCGGCCAGGCGCGGTTGGAGGGCCGGTCTTCGACCATTGCAAACGCGGGCGTGCACGGGGTCTGCGCACGCGGGGAGTGCCTCCTCCGCCTGASCGATTGCTCCGTCACGGATTCGGCCGTGCGGGGACTCTACGCGTATGCGAACGCGTCCGTGCGGCTGGAGGGGTGCACCGTAAGCGGAACGGTGCGGCCGGACACGGCAGCCATCGAAGTATCGTCTGCGTTGCCCGCCAGCGGTCTGGCCGCGTGCCAAGAAAGCAAACACAACACTTCGGGGTCGGGGAAGAAAAATAGTTGTGCGGTCCAGAAAACTTCTTCCTTGACCATGAACAACTGTCGYGTGACAGACAATGCTGGAGTAGGAGTACGAATACGAGGCGGTGTCMGGTATGATATAAAGTTGAAAAACGACGAGAACGACACGTCGGGTGGCTTGAACGGMAATTGTTTTGTTCGAAATTCGGGAGGAAACGAAATAGACCTGAAACCAGCGAGCGGAGAAGAGAGCACGTCAAGAGAGAACGAAGATGCAGCGGAGGCCAATGAGAATCAAAATGGCCACGGAAATGAGTCAAAAGTACAAAGTAGCTCTTCTSAGGAATGGAACCGAAAGCCCCAAAGAGATGCCTCGGGGTCTTCCTTTCGGAAGGGTGATTGGTGGTGCCCGGTTTGTCTCCCACGACGAATAGTACCAACTACCAAAGATTCGTGTCCTTGTTGCCAAGCCCAAAAGAGCGACGGAAAGTTTCTGTCTACCGAAGAAGTTATAAAATTGAACAGAGGCACCCTTTCTGTTCCTTCGATCCACACTACTGGTGCTTGTGAGACTCCCGCTGCTGCTGGCGGAGTGCCGAGCGAATCCATCGCAGATCCGAGAGCCGGCGGTACCCCGACGTGGTGGTTCGATGCGGACGACGATGTGGGTTGGGTTCGCTACGACACCGAGAGTATCAGAATGCTCGAGCGTGCATTTCAATTGCGTCTGTGTCTTGAAGAGAATGATTCGAAGCCGGGTGCAGAGGAGGGTATACACGAATCGGGTAGTCCAATTGTTCTACTTTGCAACGGGAAATATAGAGTCAATCTAGAGACAATGGAGCAGATCAATACGGATTCCCATTTTCTTCGACTCGTACAGCGAAGAACTTGAGATTAAAACAATAGAAAGTGAACCTCTATTCCTCTATTGATCGGTGTTCTTCGTATCGTACTATGCTGCTGATAAGATAACTAGTCATGGTATCATCATTGATAACCCAATTCAAGCATACCATACTACGATTGCTGAGACATTTCTTGGGTGATAATGATTAGAGACCATACTACTTTCGTCCCATACGAATCGAGGTGTCTGAGTTGCACCATTATCAAAGAAATCAGTGTGGGGCTGCCAGCTCCCCTAGTAGGCCTAGTACTAGCAGTAGTACTAGTWTAATCGTGGTGTAACAAAGACACAGGAAAAGGGCACTCTTTCGAGCATCATACTACTAGTATCCCCGGAGGGGAGGACATTAGAGGGAGGCCCTTCCAGAGCTGTTGCGTTTAGCTCATTGGATTCTTGTTTGTGGTTGAAGAAGTGACTGAATACTAGTAGATCTATGTAGGATCTTGTACTCAAATAAAACAACAAGGCTTGGCTTCAAATTAACCAATATTTTACTAGTACTTCTAATAATTTTAGCCTGTGGAGTAGAGCGACAAGAACAAGCTCTGTATGCCCCCCCCCCCCGATACCGTAGGCTTTCTACGATTAAAGCATTTTACTCCAATTAAACTCGTACCTACGTACCTACGGTACGGTACGTTAGTAGTACCTCCTCATTGCATTAGGTATGCGCCGCGCCGCGGATTCCAACTTCCCACCAGTTCATAGTAATTCGTGCGTACAGTAAACAAAAACTTTCAGCCAATCAAAAATCAAAAAAATTCAGAAGAATTTTTTAGACTTTTCTGAGAAATGTCCATCATCGGTTTCAACAGCTCGACAACCCCACATCAAAAATGTCAGATTTTGGCCTTTTCGATCAATCAACGATCACACGCATCATGAATCAAAACTCCTTCTGAGAAGTCGAGACAACAACTACGAGTCGGTGCCTCTAGATTTACCAACGTAGRKTTGTTATGAATTATTCGTMATTCCATCATTATCACAATAGAATAACAGATAACTAACTTTAYGAAACTACGCAAGCAGACCATACGTGGAAGGATGATGTGGCTTGTCCGTCTCTTCTTCGTTCGCGTCTTATTTGTTCATTCCATGATATCGCTGCTGCTTGCGAGTGACAGCATCAAGTGCAAATCATATGGCTCTGTACATTCATTCTTGTTTGAAGGCTATGAAAGTGGTATCAACAGCAGAAAGAGGATGATCCCGYTTGTCAAGACAGCAGGCACAAATTTAGAACGAGCAACGACGAGATCGAGGTCGCAATTTAGAACGATTGGCTCGCATGCTGAACATAGATTGACTTCAACAACGGTACATGCAGGAGGAGAGAATTCAGCATCGGAGCCGCTCTCGAGATCAGAACTGGGGACGAAATTTGTGGAGGAAATAGAAGAATCTCTTCGAGAAAACAATTTTGTATCACTTATTCTTCGCGGACCAAAGAAGAAAGGAAAAAAGAAAGGCRATGGTGGGGACGATTTACGTGGATCAATTCGACAGGTTTTAGGAAGAATCATTAAAATATCAACTCCAAAAAAGAAAAGGAAAAGACGACCAAAGAAATCCCATAGCGAATCCGACGATGATACAATGCTAGTATTACAGATGACAGTAAAATATCATGGAGCCACGGATATTTGCAAAAATTTTSGTCTTTCYGAGGCTCCGAAAACAATTCATGATCTTATAGTTGGTGATCCAGCAGAAATGGCGTCAGAGTGGGGAGTGGAAGCTGTGCGAGCGCAATCTATTCAAAGTGCTCAGTTGGTGACAACAAATAAAATCTACGATTTAAGATTGGATGATGGAACGATACGAAAACAGAAGGTCAAAAATACTGACGGTAGTGTTCCGTCTTCAGCTATACCGGCATCTCACGATCGTGTAAAACAAGTYCCTCTGTCGAATAAGGCAGAGTTTTTCAAAGTTTTAGGAGTTACTAAGGACGATGGGCAGCCTAAACCTCGTATGAAGGGGAAGCTTCGACAGTGCCAGAAATTCGTAGAAATAGTAGGCAGGATCGTTGACGAGTGCCAAAAACAAAAAAAGAAGGACATCTCTGTCGTTGATATGGGTTGCGGCCGAGCATATTTGACATTCGCTCTTCATTCGTATCTACAAGAGCGGTACGGGTCAGTGACTACGACAGGGGTTGACGTGCGACCGAAACTAGTTGCTGAGATATCAGGCATCGCTCGATCGCTCGGTAAAAGTTTCGACTCCTTGAACTTCGAACAAGGAACTATTGAGAAAGTGGTCGCACAAGTTTCTACTCATCAAAATCAAGACAAAGATAAAAATTCAYTGAATGTTCTCGTTGCTTTGCATGCCTGTGATACAGCTACCGACGATGCATTATATTCTGGAATTGCKCAGAATGCCGATGTAATCGTGGTGGCGCCATGTTGCCACAAACAAATTAGGCCACAAGTCAATGCTCATTTCTCATCCACAAGGCAAAATAACGCTTTGTCATCAATTCTGAAACAYGGTGTCTATCGGGAACGCATGAGTGAAACGGTTACTGATAGTTTGAGAGCACTTCTCTTAGAGTTCGCCGGATACAAAGTTCAGGTGTTTGAGTTCATAGGCGGAGAACACACCAGTAAAAATGTCATGATCACAGCAATAAAGTCTAGTACAAAGCAATCTCAATCGGAGACAGAAAGTATCCGGCAGCAGATCAYGTCGTTAGCGGGTCTTTATGGCATAAGCTACCAGAAATTAGCCAATTGGATGGAATTTGGCCCATTATCAGAACATTCGACTAAGGATGGTGCTTCAAGCAAAATGAAGACTAACAARGTATCGAAGATAAGGATGCCACGAGCGCGTCCGCGATAGTTTGAGACATGTAACGAAGTTAAATTTTCTTGCACATATTTTGAGTGGRTCAGGTCCAGCGTTAATTCCGTCATTAGYACCTCTGGCGTGACAGGCTCGTGAGAAATCCCGTCTTCCAAGACAACMGTTTTTAGACTTGTTCAGGTGCGGTAAGAATAMCCTAGTGTGAGTGAGCCGTATGAGTGAGCCAACGTAACAGTCAATGAGTATCAATCATTGATATCAAGAACACCATACCAAACTACTCCTTGGGGTTTTCGTTGATTTCTGATTTCCGGGATCGATTTTCAAGTCATTAAATTGTTCGTATTCTGCTTCAGTTGTAAAGCAACAATGACGACATTGAAAAATTCCGCAGAGAAATGTCTGAAGTCACCGAAAGTCCCGTACCCGACCACAAAGAGGATGGCTGGCAACAAGGGAAAAGTCTTTTCTGCATACTTTTTTCTCGCTTTTCTTCGTCAAGTAGGTCTGACTCCGTTAATCACGACGAGGTATTGAAACCTCTGTATTATATTGTTGGTGATTCCAGCTCGGAGCAAATGGAGGCAACCGTTCAGAGTATAGAAGATGATCAATCGAAGGAGAAGAATGAAACAGAAACCAACAACTCTCAGCAATCACGGCTGTTAGGGCGTACGAATTTGCAATTTCATGGTTCTAAAGAATCTCCTGATGGTGTAACTTTTGAAACGCTCTCAGTAAAAAGGTTCGGCAATGATGAATCTATGCTCTTTCGAAGCGCAAACTCGACCACCATTAATAAGAGAATTGATGTTGAAAAAAATGCAAACTATGCTTCGAAAATGAGCTTATTTGCAATGCTACATACACTATCAATCGCTATAGGAAGGAGGTCTTCAGGTTGTCGCCGCAAATTAGGYCGAATCTTCAAATTCACGTGTTTGCGTGGATCTAGCAGGCATTCGAAGTGCAAGTCCCCTTCTATTTCTATGGAATGCTCGTGTGAGCATGAAACAAAATGTGATTCTCATTCCAAATCTGAGGAAGATTCTTGCGACGAGCATTCCTCGCAAAGTAAAACAAAAGACGAGAAKAGCTATTCAGACGATACGTCAGTTGAAGAAATTACRACCTTGGGCGTGGCTTACGCACACCCAGTGTACACTGGAAAACGCAAGTTAATGAAGCCAAAGGCGAAGCCGGCTATCATAACGGATTTCTGGCAGAAATTCGAAGTGGATTTCGCTCTCGAAAACAACAAATTCAGTCTTCCCTTAACTGAAACTGTCGTGGAGACTACTACGGCGAAAAGCTGGGGAAGCATTGCTTCCTCATCGMTTTATCCTACAGATGAACAGAGTATTGAYGAGGATTTTTTCTACTGCAATAGTTTTGATTCTGATGTCGATCTTCCCTTCGACGAGACATCCGGAGATTACTATTGAATATGTCTTCTCTATATTCTGGACTGTCTGACAAAGAATTTTTGTCTGAAGCTTCCATGAGAGTTGGACTGATTACCCAGCACCAGTACTACAACTGTTATTATACTACTGGCACTTGTAGTACTAGTACTATTACATTGCTGGTGCATACGTTGAAAGGACGAGAAAGTGGTGTTGTTCTTGTAGGAAGATATTAGCAGGTACATCACTTCTTTTACTAATTCATACTAGTAGTAGTAGTAGTAGTAGTAGTAGTAGTAGTAGTATTGCTGGTAGCTACTAGTAGTAGTGCTAGAGTATGCGCAACAAAAACAACAAGCAACAACAACAACAAGAACCAAGAAGAATAAGCTGCTGGTGTTACTACTACTAGTACTGTCCCCTGGAAGTGAAAAATGGCTCAAGTACTAATCGATATTAGTATTACTATGTTTGGTCATCACCATGCAGTAGTACTGCTGCTTTTACTAGTAGTAGTAGTAGTAGTACTACTACTACTACTTCTACTAGTAGTAGCCTACATAGTATTAGTACTAGTATAATGATATTAGTAGGAGTAATAATATTAGTAGTACTAATAGTAATAATAGTAGTGGTACTACTACTACTAATAATAGTAATAATAATAATAACAATAACAATAGTAATACTGATAGTAGTACTAGTAGTAGCTAATAATACAACAAGAACAACAAGCTACTAGTAGTACTAGTAGTATTGTTAGTGCTAGTAAGCGCTCCTAATGCAGCAACAAATTAAAATAATGCTTGCTTGTTCTTGTTTCTTCTTGCTTCTTGTTGAGGATCCATCAGCATAAGCATTACTTCTTTACTAGTAGTACTAGTACTACTAGTAGTAAAAAGAACAACTAGTACTAGTACTACTAGTACTAGCTACTCCTGCAACTATGTCACAGTAGTACTACTAGTAGTAGTACTAGTATGGACAATAGTTTTAATACTACTAGTAGTACCTTTAATAGCTAGTTGAGTACTAGCAGAAGTAGTACTAGTAGTAGTAGTGCTATTGCAGAAAACAAGAGAAACACGTTAGTAGTACTAGTATGAACTGTATTCATTAGCTTACACGTGGAAGAACTCGTGAACTGATTGCATGCTTTTGGTACGACTGAATTACTAGACCATTACTGTTTTACCGTATGTTTTATCATCGTCACACCATGTTATCACGGTTTGAAGCGTTTGAAGTGCGATGCTCTTTGAATCGAGTACGTACTGACCGTACGTCGAGACTCGACACCCATCAGTGAAACAGACGTCTCCACAACACAACAAAACAAAACTTCCGAGTGACCAGCCTCCGCTCTGACCTCATCTCCTCTGGAACTTACTGAACACAAGATCGAAATGGCGACTTCCTATTCCATACGAAATGTATCCTGCGTCAACGAGGCAAAAGCAGGAGTGCCGATTCTCACTGGAATTGGTTACCTCGATCACATGATTGACCAGTGGAATTCGCACGCCCAGGTCGGCGTTGGGTTGGAAGTCGTTGCAAAGACATCTCAGGATACTACCGARGATGAAACAAAGGAAGACGGAGATTCCAAAACGAATCCTCCTACCGACGATCATGCCGATAGAAATCAATACGCATCTGGAAACCAAGTGGAGCTTTGTACGGCTGTAGGGAATACACTGGGTCTTGCACTGAAGAAAGTATTAGCTTCTACGGAGGACACGTCRCCAACAAATTCGCGATTTTGTTGCCCGCTTGACGAGGCCTTGGTCGAATGCCAAATCTCTTCGACGAATGATGCGACTGCCGAGGACGATGTGGCGACGTATAGCCTGGCACCTTACGGAATTTATCCCCGAAACGTCGGCAGAACACAAATCGGCAAGCTCCAAACCTTTGCCATTGAGTCGTTTTGGAGAGCCCTGGCCTCGTCTTCCGGCATAGCGATATCCCTGAAGAAAATTCGCGGTGATAACGCGCACCATATTGGTATGTACAGTCGCATTGATGTTCGTGTAACGTAGTATTATCATAACGGAGGCGTCAGCCTCCTGTTGTTGTTGCGATGACCGACGRCTGACTTGTGCCTTCAAAGATGAATGYGGGGTCAATGCATCCGTTGCGCCGAAACTTGTATATCGTCACACGCATAGATGGACATGAACGCAAACAGCGCCTAACGAATTTGTKCCGTTCTTGTTGTTTAGTTGAGAGCTCGTTCAAGGCCTTCTCGAGAGCGCTCCGGGTCTTTTTAGATCCACCGGGCATTTGGAACCAGGGAAGTCCCAACGACCTGGAGGGGATTGCACTGAAGCGAGAAGGGAAGATCGAGCGGACGACAAAAGAAACCTCCATATCGGTGCACGTCTTATTCAATGGATCCAGCGAGGACACGCTCGTGGAGACGGGGACCCCCTTTCTGGACAAATTTTACACAGTGCTGGCACAGGAAGCGAACATGACCCTGAAGATTCGTTGCAAGGGCGATCTGTGGGTAGATGACCACCACACGGCGGAGGACGTTAGCATCGCGATCGGACAGTGCCTSACRCAGGCCCTTGGAAACAAGGCGGGCCTGAACCGAATGTGGCTTTCCAACGCGACCAGTAAGGACGCCACGGTGGAGGTCACCATGGACCTGTCGAACCGTCCCTATTTCGAGCACAACCTCCACGAGATCCTGGGCCGTAACGAATACGTGGATTTCGATGGTGAAATCGGCGATTCCTCTGTGGACAACGCCGCCCTTTTGTCGTGCGAGATGCTGGAGCACTGCCTGGATTCTCTGGTTATGAACAGCCGTATGACGGTTCACATTGTGGGAAAGGAAGTCGAGGAGACAACGCGGGTGGCGGATGTGTGCCTCGCCACAGCGATGGCCTTTGGCCGTGCCCTCCGAGTTTGCTCGATGGTGGACCAGCGGAGAGCAGGCACTACTGCAAGCAGCAAGGGAACGCTGTCGGTGTAAACGAGATCCGTGCAAGACACAGTTGGATCGCACCATATCGCATCGAATCCTAAGCATCGGAAGCCTACCAAAACACTGGACTAGACAATTCTAGTAATGGACTACACACCCATCGAGTCTTTGAAACAAGTGAAATCTTRAGATTAGTTAGATGGTTCTCTTTAGCACATTCTATTACCGAAAGTTCCAAACTTCTGTATCTTTTTTCTCCCTCAACATGCAACTTTCTTGACAATGCTGTAAAACCTGCCACAGGAGTTCTCATGATAATAGGTACAGTACCGTACCTTTGTGTTCTGTCGTCCTGTCGTTGAATCTTGACACAAAGACAACGTCTGTCATTYACCTGTATATCATTTGCCCTTATCATGTTGTGTCGGTAAAAGAGGGAGGTGAAAAGTTTCAATCAACAGTTCCCCAAATTACACCATKTCACTGCTGGGATCTAATAGGGGGTCAGTGTACAAGCATGGAACAAGGCACGGTTGTCAGCAATGGCAAATGAGCAGAGTAGTTAGCTAGGAGTGGTGGGTGTAGTTGACTGTAGTGTGTGATGTTGATGGTCTGGTTATTGAGCTTTGGTGATCCTATTGTCATACAGCCAGGGCATGAGGTAGGAGSACAACAACTGCTGTTGTAGCAAATGGAAGCCCTGTAATGATGCCCTTGTAGAAGTCTCAGGTGAGTGTCAGGTGAAGTCACTGTCATGTGAAGACAACTTTCACATGAGGCCGCTGTCACGGACTACGGTACCTCCTAGAAGGTGTACCATACCATGGTGAATGGTACACACTGGCAGTACTGGTGTGAGATCTGCAGAATTTTGSAGTGACATGAGTTTGCGCCCACCTGAGTCACACATCAGGTGGGGGTCAGGTGGGGGTCAGGTGGCCCTCACCTGGTGAGCTGCCTGTAGTGCAATC